TATGGAAGAATATTGGATTTGCGGAAATTTTCAGCATTAAGGGGGGGGGGGGGGATGTTGACTTGGTGGTACGGGAAGAATGCACGGAGGGATGGAAGGCATTTGTTGGAAGAGGGAGTGTGACGGCCTGGCATGGTGAAAGCGATGGTGGAAGACGGCAGAGTCGCCGTCTCAGGAGACAGGCGGAGCGGGCCTAAAGGTCATGTTCGATATGATCCGGTACAGTATGACTCGCGACTCGCGACTTGCGATGAAGATCTTTTGCCGATGGCCCGGCGCATGTGGCTTTCTGGTTGGGCATCGTCGGGGGGGAGCGGCGGCCAATGGGGAGGCGGAATTCAGGTGCATGGGTACGGTGCGCGTAAGCTTACGCGAAGAGCCGCCCGCACTGCATTTTCCGGCCGTACATTTGGGCCATAGATGTAAGTTGATACTCCAACTCTACAAGTTCTCTCCACAGATGCGGCGGAGCTGTGTGCCCCGCGTGCTGTACTGTATACTCGTACAAAAGGAGAGCTGCGCCAGCCCGGCCTACTACAGTACCCAAGGGTACTGTACAGTATTTTGTCCTGGTGCTGGTAGTACGCTGTAATGTGTAACGCAAGTACGCCGTGTGAACATCGCCGCGTAACGGGGAGCTGCTTTGACTCGTCGCCACATCCTCCTCCGGCATGTTCTGCATCGCCAAAAAGACAGATCATCTCCCCTCTCAGTCGCCGGCCTCGCCGGCCGGGCGATGTCCATCCCCAACACAGCAACGCTGCTGCTCACACTAGGGTTTCTCCGCACATCCCTCCGCCCGCTACGCACATGGCCGTGCTGCTTCTCGCACTCTTATTCCCATGGGTGGCTCCGTCAGGCTGATGCAAGTAACGGAACGGGCGATGAACGTCTACGATAGTGAACCCCCGTTGCAACGACATTCGAGACGTCCTAAGCCATACATCATCCGACGGCAATCGGAAGATACCACAGCCGCCCCTGCCGTCTTACACAACATCTACAGAAGCCGATCCTCCGTAACTGTTTACAAAACAAATTGCAACCATGAAAGTAATAGGAAGCGAACTCAGTCCAGAATGTGCAAGTCGTTACCACTGCACAGTATTGCAGCACATCATTGTTTAGTTGTCTTTATTAAAATACGTTTCAACGCCCAACTACTAATAATTTTCGTTTCTCCGCCATGATACCTGAAACTGCCATTTGATAGATTCGCATGCGTTCTTCTTGATGTACAGTAACAGGCTTGACCGTGTCGGTACAGTACGGTATAGAGCTCTGAATAAAGGTTGTCTCTCTGTTCGCTCATACAGTATTGAATGGTACAGTTGTCACTCCCTAGTAGGGATCCCTAGTACTCCCTAGTAGGGATCCCTAGTACTCCCTAGTAGGGATCCCTACTAGGGAGTGACAACTGTACCTTTAGACAGTGCCGTTTTGATAGTAGAGGTCCTACACAAGC